ACCCTGCAGCCCCGGCCCGCATCGGGACCGCCACGCGCTGGGGGGTGACCCCCGAGGTGAGGGCTGAGGGGCCGCCCGGGGAGCCGCGCAGGGGCCGCTGACCCGGGAGGACGCGGGGTCTGGGGTCCCGTCCTCCCTGCGCCCCGAACAGTGTGGGAGGCGGAGAGGCTGTGCCTTCGCTCCGAGTTCCCGCGGGGCCGCGGGGTGGGAACAGGGGGGACACGGGCTGTGTTGGTTTTTGTGGTGTTTTTTAAAAATTTTTTTACAGAGAGGAAGGGAGAGGGAGAGAGAAACATCGATCAGAGAGAAACATGGATCCGCTGCCTCCTGCCCGCCCCCTACTGGGGATGTGCCCGCAACCAAGGCCCATGCCCTTGACCGGAATCGAACCTGGACCCTTCAGTCCGCAGGCCGACGCTCTATCCACTGAGCCACACCGGCCAGGGCTGTGTCAGGTTTGGAAGGGTTTTCAATGCCCCTGGGAGGGGACAGACGAGTGGGGTGTGGCCGGAAAGGGGGCCACGTGCTCACCTGACGGGCACAGGGGAGGCCTGCATGGCCGCCCTGCAAACCCAAAGACCGGAAGTCACCTCAAAGGATTGTCTGAAATCAAAACTTTAGCTACAAGAAGCGTGTGGTGCGTAGCCCTGTCCTAGGCCAGGATCTTCCTGTGATGTTTTGTTTGTTTAATTTTTTTATTTAAAAAATCTTTATGGTTGAAAGTATAAAATATGTCCCCTTTTTCAGCCCATTAACCACCTCCAGGATTCCCCCCTGGGCAAAAAAACGAATTCTCCCGGGCCATCAGCTCCTTCATTGTTATGGTCATCACGTTAATTGTTGACTGTTACCTACCCTTTCCCCAGCAAAGCACAGGAAGTCTGTGTCTAGCATTTCACTTTTTATCCAATTCCCCAGGGTCCCCCTCCCCTTTGCTTTCTCCTGCTTCACTGATCAATCACCAAAGGATTTCACTTAATACACGTACCTCTCCTCCTTTGATTGTGACCTATAAAACAAGGTGAGCCCTAACCGGTGTGGCTTAGTGGATAGAGCTTCCGCCTGCGGACTGAAGGGTCCCGGGTTCGATCCCGGTCAGGGGCATGTACCTTGGTTACGGGCACATCCCCAGTAGGGAGTGTGCAGGAGGCGGCTGATCGATGTTTCTAACTCTCTATCCCTCTCCCTTCCTCTCTGTAAAAAATCAATAAAATGTATTTTTTAAAAAACAGGAAAATCTGTGATATTGCACAAAAAGTCAGAATATAGTTTTACTTTGTTGCTGCGTCACCTCTCTGTGCTTGCAAGGTCACTCTCCCGGCCTTCCCTGAGCCTTTCAGGTTATCTGTCAGGTGGATAGTTTTTGTCCACACAACTGCGGCAGAGAAAGGGAGGAGATGAGGACAACGAGACGGTTTTTGGTCCCACCAGCCAAACTGATGCTGGCCCTGTCACCGGTGCTGGGGAAGATGGTAGAAGGTTAAATTTTTTTTAAAAAAATATATATTTTTTTTAACTTTATTTTATTTTTTATATATTTTTATTGATTTTTTATAGAGAGGAAGGGAGAGGGATAGAGAGTTAGAAACATCAATGAGAGAGAAACATCGATCAGCTGCCTCCTGCACACTCCCTACTGTGGATGTGCCTGCAACCAAGGTACGTGCCCTTGACCGGAATGGAACCCGGGACCCTTCAGTCCGCAGGCCGACGCTCTATCCATTGAGCCAAACCAGTTAGGGCAAGAAGGTTAATTTTGTTGGGGAATTTTAGAAGGTTCTTTTGGTCATTTTTTAGAAATTTCAACAGTGAGTGGAAATATCCAGTGAGCAGCTGGTCACATGGTAGGGTCAGGGTCAGGGTCAGGGGAGGGCTCCGGGATGGATACATGCAAAAGTGGTAGCTCTTTTGTGCACCAGGGCAAAGCATGCAGAGCTGAGGGAGGGACCCTGGGGTGTGAAGATGGGAAGCAGCTAGAGGTTGCACAGTGGTGTGCAGACTAGAGGATGTTTGAGCTGATGGTCCTGGGCGCCTGTGTGTGGATCTAAGGGTGACGCACAGCCCATGTTTCGCTGCGTCCTGCAGGAATGATCTGGGACATCCCCGTGGATTTGCGGGGCAGGAATGATTGAGCCCTTCTGGCAGGGCCCAGAGCTTAGGTGGCATTGACCTGCCCCCCTCCCCTCCCCTTCCCCTTGCCCTGCCTGTTGTTGTGAGGGTGATAAGAGTGGTTAATGGGACTGTGATGAGAGAGCAGGCAGCACTGGCACCAGGGCTGGGTGTCTTCTCAGAACTGTGGGTTGTGAGGAAGAGGAGGATTGTGGTATCTCAGACAGACTCTTCCTGACTCAGTTGTATTCACTCTGACAGGTCGGTGCAGCCTTTGAGGATGTCGCCGTGTATTTCTCCAGGAAGGAATGGCGCCTCCTTGATGAGACCCAGAGAGGCCTATACCTCGAGGTGATGCTGGAGAATTTTGCTCTTGTATCCTCACAGGGTAAGACCATCTTTTCCTGGTGTGTTCTTCTTTCAGCACGCCTGCATCCTCCTCACCACCCCCACCCCCCTTGCAAAGGATTGTAGTTTTCACTTTTTTTCTAAATTTTAAGGGTCCCCTGTAGATATGCAACCAGAGGAGCAACGGGCCTTTTCACCCTATCTCCATTTTCCGCTTGTCTCTGACATCCCAGTGAGCTAACAGCAGGTCTGTCCTGACTCACTTCTTCCATTTTTTAAAAAAATATATTTCCTCATTGGTTTCAGAGAGGAAGGGAGGAGAGAGAGATAGAAACATCAATGATGAGAGAGAATCATTGATCGGATGCCTCCTGCACGCCCCCTACTGGGGATTGAGCCTGCAACCAGGCATGTGCCCTTGGCCGGAATCGAACATGGGACCCTTCAGTCTGCAGGCCAATGCTCTATCCACTGAGCCAAGCCGGCTAGGGCTCATTTTGATCGTCACTTCCCCTTGAGCGAACCGCAGCCCACACTTGGCTCACTGCTATCCAGTAGCTTTTCCAAGGGGCCAGAGCAGAGCACGGTCCAGGCTCTCTCCTGTTCTCTCCTGTGGCTGCTTCTACCCTAAGTTCTTTCTCCGTTTCTATGTCCTTCGCTTGAAGAAGTGCAGTGTCACAGTCACCTGGACTCCTGTTGATGGACCTTTCCTCCTCTAATTCAAGAACCCACGCAGTATAGTCTGGTCTGAGGCAGACCTGCTGCACCCTGGTCCCCTTTTGGTAACACCTTGATGTACCGAGAGAATGTTTCGTGTGTGGCTTGACAAGAAGGCCTCTGCTGCTGCATTTGCATATAATTCCCTGTATATATTCAGGATTAGAGTTCCTCTGAAGAGGAATCAAACTTCAATAATTGCTTACTCATTTTAGATGGGATGATCTAGACCAGTGGTTCTCAACCTTCCTCATGCCGCGACCCTATATTACAGTTCCTCATGTTGTGGTGACCCCCAATTTCATTGTTACAAATTGAACATAATTAAAGCACAGTGATCAATCACAAAAACAATATGTAATTATATATGTGTTTTCCGATGGTCTTAGGCGACCCCTGTGAAAGGGTCGTTCGACCGCCAAAGGGGTCGCTACCCACAGGTTGAGAACCACTGATCTAGACTTTGTGAAAGGAGAATATTGAAGTTCTCTATTAACCTTTTTTCTGCTTTCAGATCTGATATTATTTGCTGAATGTACTTAGTTTTTCTGTCTTTGGGTGCATGTTACATAAATTTGTTATCTTCTTGATTTTTGTTACCTTCATGGGGAACGTCGTGGCCATGGGGTTTTTATTGGAACTCACGCCGACATGCTCTGTAGGTTCCTCTGATGTGTAAGGTGTGGTGGTTTCACCGATGTTGCAGGAGGTACTCGTGATTCCTAAAACAAAGTTTCCCAAGGTCCATCACAGAGCAGGCCACTAGGGACGCAGTAGTGAAAGCTCCGCAGATAACTGAAGCATCTTCAACCCTTGTATATTGACCCCTGCCATTTCCACGTGGGTTAGGTCACCCAGTCTGCCACCCTCTCTCACTTTACTGCTGCCTGCAGAACTTTGGATATGCATGTATCTTTGTGTTGATGTGGAACATCATCCACTCCTTTTCAGTTAATTTTTATGGGCTTGTGTACATTCCCATTTCTTTTTTTCTTTCTTTCCTCTCAAATATAATTTTAATTATTTCAGAGAGGAAGGGAGAGAGAGGGAGAAAAATCAGTGAAGAGAGAGAATCATTGACTGGCGTTTTCCTGCAGGCCCCACACTAAAGATGGATTTAAAATTCTGGCTTGGCCCTGGCTGGTTTGGCTGAGTGGATAGAGCATTAGCCTGCAGACTCAAGGGTCCTGGGTTCGATTCCGGTCAAGGGCATGTACCTTGGTTGCGGGCACATCCCCACTCGGGGGTGTGCAGGAGGCAGCTGATCAATGTTTCTCTCTCATTGATGTTTCTAACTCTCTATTCCTCTCCTTTCCTCTCTGTAAAAAATCAATAAATATGTTTAAAAAATAAAATTCCACCTTGTTCCTGAACAGGAACCAAACCTTAACCTCCTGATTCATAATTTGATGCTCAAACACTGACTCCAATTGGGTGGGCCACATTCACATTCTAGTATAAAGTGTTATGGAACTAGCAGGAAACGTCCTGGAGGATGCGATTTGCAGAGGAACAGCTAATAGACTGATCCTCATTATTTTGTGTCCCATCCTATGACCACGTTCCTCTTTTCTTGAATTCCCCTCTCCCCATTTATTTACCACTTAATGTATAAAAGCCATTTCCTCAGATTCTAAGTCATTTGTCTTGAAAATCAATACATAGAATCATTCCACGTGCGAGAGATGGACATTTGTAGTGAGATTACTTTTTTTTAATCTTTTTAAAATATATATTCATTGATTTTTATTGGAAGGGAGAGATAGAGAAATGTAATCATCAATGATGAGAGAGAATCATTGATCGGCTGCCTCCTGAATACTCCCTAATGGCAATGTGGCCCACAACCCGGGCATGCACCCTGAGCAGGAATCGAACCATTACCTCCTGCTTCATAGGCCACCCTCAACCACTGAGACACGACGGCAGGGTGAGATAACCTTTGGCCATCGACTCAACGTGTAATTTACTCAGCGATTCCTTTTGTTCAGGTTGCTGCTGTGGAACACAGGGTCCGGAGGCGTCCATTGAACAGAACGTTTCTGTAAGAGTGTCACAGGCCAAGAGGATCAAAGGAACTGTGTCTTCTCAGAAGAGCCACCCTTGTGAGAGTTGTGGTGCTGTCTTGAGGGACATTTTCCAGTTTGTTGAGCAACAGGGAACACAGCACAGTTTGAAATTCTTGAAGTGTGGGGCATGTGCAAAACCATTTTATTTCAGTGCAGAGTTGCACCAGCACCATGGGCAGGACATGAGAGCAGAGTGTTTGATAAGAGGTATGAACAAGGACTCCGTTGTGAAGAGCAGCACATTCAGTGTGTCCCAGAAGCTTTTTACCGGTCGGAAGGTTGGACACAGCATCCTTACTGCCTCAAGACAACTTCAGAAACAGGTTCCTCTTACCAGGGACAAACCAAGTGAACTCTCCTTGTCTGGGGTAACATTTCAAAACGGGGAAAAATTCCTTTGCCAGAAAGAATCTAAAAAAGCCATTGGCTGCAAGGACACACTTGTTCCAGACCGAGCTGTCCATACTGGAAGGCAGTGTGTTGTGAGCCCTGAAAGTAAAAACTGTTTTAAAGGAATCTCTGACCTTCGTGATCATCAGAAAGCCCACTCGTTGGAAAAGCCATATGAATGCAGTGAGTGCGGGAAATGTTTTAGATATCGGTCGATCCTTATCCAACACAGTCGAGTTCATACTGGAGATAAGCCTTACGAGTGTGGTGAATGTGGGAAATTCTTCAGCCAAAGCTCCAGCCTCATTCAACACCAGAGAATTCACACGGAACAAAAGCCATATGAGTGTAGTGAATGTGGAAAATATTTTAGCAGAATATCCAACCTTCGTCGTCATCAGAGAGTTCACACGGGAGAAAGGCCATATGAGTGCAGTGAATGTGGGAGAACTTTTTGCAGTGCCCCTGGACTGAATTATCATCAGAGGGTTCACCATGGGGAAAGACCTTATGAGTGCACAGATTGTGGGAAATCATTTGCCGGTAGATCTGGACTCCTGTATCATCAGAGTGTTCACACTGGGGAACGGCCATATGAGTGCAGGGAATGTGGTAAATCTTTTACCAGAATATCCCACCTTCGTCGGCATCAGAGAGCTCACACTGGAGAAAGGCCATATGAGTGCAATGACTGTGGAAGAACGTTTTGCAGTGCCTCTGGACTGAATTACCATCAGAGCGTTCACAGTGGGGAAAGACATGAGTGCGCAGATTGTGGGAAATCATTTGCCGGTAGATCTGGACTCCTGTATCATCAGAGTGTTCACACTGGGGAACGGCCATATGAGTGCAGGGAATGTGGGAAATCTTTTACCAGAATATCCCACCTTCGTCGTCATGAGAGAGCTCACACTGGAGAAAGGCCATATGAGTGCAGTGACTGTGGAAGAACGTTTTGCAGTGCCTCTGGACTGAATTATCATCAGAGCGTTCACAGTGGGGAAAGACACGAGTGCGCAGATTGTGGGAAATCGTTTGCCGGTAGATCTGGACTCCAGTATCATCAGAGAGTTCACACTGGGGATCGGCCATATGAGTGCAGGGAATGTGGGAAATCTTTTCTGTATGGCACTGGACTCCGTCGCCACCACACAGTTCACACTGGAGAAAGGCCTTATGAGTGCATTAATTGTGGCAAATCTTTTATAAGGAAAACTCATCTTCTTCAACATGAAAGTTCACACAAGAGAAAGGCTCTTTGAGTGCTGTGAATGTGGGTAATCTTTTAGCCAAAATCCTAACTTCTGGACACATGAGAGTACACATTAGAGTAAGTTCTTAGATGTGTAGGAAATGTACTTTCTTTGTTCCGTGTTAACACATTGTATGCGGGAAACGTATTTATACGTTTTACGTTGACTGGTAGTAGAGCGTGGGACAGGTATTGATACGTTTTTTATAGGCTAGCGGTAGAATGCTGGTAACCTATAAATACGTTTATTTTTATACTTTTTTATTGCTCTAAAGGGATGCTAACATGCAGATATACGAATTCCAAAGGACAAAATTTGGGTCTCTAACGCATACAATGGTGAATTATGTATGTACTTCCAGGTATAATGGTAATCTATTCAACTGCGTAGAGTCATCCCTTCACACAGTTCTCTGCCTCGCCACGCATTCAGTGCGATTCTAAGAAAAATAATTCAGTATACATTTTATAGTAAATCACAAAAAGTTTCATTGAAAAAAAATATGTAAAACTAAAGTTATCGTAATTTTACTGAATGTTGCCATTTGCACAAAAAAATTAGCAAAAATGGCCCGCGCTACCTATTAGCGCGCGATAAAAACTACCTGCAAACAATGTGTTAAGCACACTGGAGGAAACTCAGGCTTCAGTTTTCTGACTTTCATCTCATAAATCCTGTCCCCAACAGTAGGAAGATTTTCCATAATGTTTAGTTACATGGGAAGCATGCTAACCTGCTTATGTTATACATTCTAACCTGCCCGGGGCGTAGTGCAGATGGATATCACTGCAAATTTCTGTGACAGAATCCATTTTACCTGTACAAACACTGAGCAGGTCCCCGCAGTTTTCATCAGTCACCATCCTATTGTCCTCAGGTAAGCTGACTTTGTTCTCTTATTAGTTAAAGGAAATTAGGAGTAACGTGAAGCCTTAGGAGATCTGCATCTCATTTGCTCTGTTTGGGACCTTACCCATTGTTGACCCCAGAGAACATCATCTGAGTTCAGCTGGCAGCTTCCAGGAAAAAAAAAAAAGAAATTATTTTTAAGTAGATGATATCGTAGATACCTCTGGTGAATATTACCACTGTTTGATGCCTCTGTCAGAAGATTGGTTGGGTCGATGTCCTTTGGGTTTTTAACATAATAAAAGCCTTCTTGTTTTAAATCCTCTCTAATTTTGCATGTTTTCTTTGTGGGGTAGTTTGTAAGCATATTTGGGCTCTACAAGTATAAAGACGTGAACAATTTTTGCCCTGACCTGAACCTTTCTCTCCCTCCAAGGGTAGAGTATGGTGGGGGAATTTGCATTGCTTACCCCCTTCCTTTTTGGAAAGACCGCAGAGTTTTCGGGTACTCGTGAGAAGCCTGAATGCTATGAGTTTTAGTTTTAGAAGACTTAGACACCACCTTCAAAACTTAGCTGGGGGTGACAACTTCACCTGTTTCTGGGATCAGCAGGAATCTTTTATTTTTATTTTTTTCATTGATTTTAGAAAGGAAGTGAGAGGGAGGGAGATAGAAACATCAATGCTGAGAGGGAATCATGGATCAGCTGCCTCCTGCACACCCCCTATTGGGATCTACCCGGCAACCTGAGCATGTGCCCCGACCAGGAATCAAACCGTGACCTTATTCATAGGTCAACGCTCAACCACTGAGCCACGCCAGCCAGGCTATAGTATCTTTTAAATTCTTATTTATTATTTCTAAATTTTTGGTTATTGATTTGAGAAAGAGAGGGAAAGAAACGTTGACTTTTTTTTTGTTGCTGCTCCATTTAAAAAATATATATATTTATTGATTTCAGAGAAAAAGGGAGGAAAGAGAGACAGACAGACAAATGATGAAAGAGTAGTATTGATCTCCTGCCTTCTGCTCGCTCCCTCCTAGGGATTGAGCCTGGAACTTGGGTATGTGCCTTAGACCAGAATCAAACATGGGACCCTTCATTACACATCTATCCACTGGGCCAAACTGGCTAGCACCCCCCCCCTTTTTTTTAAATCCTCACCAGAGGATATGTGTATTGATTCTTGTGTGTGTGTGTGTGTGTGTGTGTGTGTGTGTGTGTATTGATTCTTACTGAGCAAAATGGAGAAACATTGATAGGTTGACTTCCCTATGTGCCCCAACTAGGGATCAAACCTGCAAACCAGGTATGTGCCCTGACTCAGAACCAAACCCGTAAACTTGTCTTGTACAGAAGGTTGCTCCAACTGAGTCACTCAGCCAGGGTTTCTCCCACTTATTGATCCACTCACTGGTAGATTCTTGTATGTGCCCTGACCAGAGATCAAACCCACCACTTGGCAATTTGGGATGACACTCTAACCAACTGAGGGACCCTGCCAAAGCTAAATTTTCATTTATTCACATTAGAGAAGATGTCAGAGAGTGAAAGAGAAAAACATCAATTTGTTGTTCCATTTATTTATGCTTGTATGTGCTCTGACCGGAGCTCGCACCCATAACCTTGGCATATCAAGATGACACTCAAATGAGTTTACACAGCCATAATTGATTTATAGTGTTAAAAAACAAAATTCGCCCTGACCGGCTTGGCTCAGTGGATAGAGCGTTGGCCTGCGGACTCAAGGGTCCCGGGTTCCATTCCGGTCAAGGGCATGTACCTGGGTTATGGGCACATCCCCAGTAGGAGGTGTGCAGGAGGCAGCTGATCGGTGTTTCTAACTCTCTATCCCTCTCCCTTCCTCTCAATAAAGTATAAAAATAAATTTTAAGATGTTCTAAAAAAACATTAAAAAATCAACATATATATGTTTTAAAATAGCCTGTTGTTCTGAAGCACAGATAACATGTGGACTTCCCATTTGCATTTAAGGAGAGGATTGTGCACAGACTTGTGGGGCTGAGCTGGTAACCAGTCTCCAGGTGGGTGGGGTCAGAATGGAGCCAGGAGCCAGCCCTTCCCTCCAGGGAGCAGCCTCACTTTGCAGCAGTGGTTCTCAACCTTCCTAATGCCGCGACCCCCAATACAGTTAATACAGTTCCTTAGTGTTGTGGTGACCCCCAATTTCATTGTTACAAATTGAACATAATTAAAGCATAGTGATTAATCACAAAAACAATATGTAATTATATATGTGTTTTCCGATGATCTTAGGCGACCCCTGTGAAAGGGTCGTTGGACCCCCAAAGGGGCCGCGACCCACAGGTTGAGAACCGCTGCCAGGATCCCTCCAGGGGCTAATGTCCTAGCTGTGCCCTCTGGAGCGCCTGGAACTACATTACCCAGAAGGCCGTGCGCAGTGTCCCGCCCAGGAGAGATCGGCAGGAAAGCATTTCCGGGATTTTTCCACCTGGACTTCCGGCCTCCTCCCCGGGGATCCTGTTTGGTCTGTGGTCTTTGGGGTTCTCTGTGGGGTTTTGAGGCGATGGAACAGAGGAGGTGCGGCCCCCGCCGCACAGACGGACGGACGGAGCCCCGAGACCCCGCGAGGCACCCGCTTCCGGGCGGGAGGGGACCGCCGCCCCCGATGGCGGAGGCCGCGCCGGGGCGCCCGACTGAGGTGAACGCGCACCCGGGGCCTCCCCGCCTCCCTCACCCAACCCCGCAGCCAGGGGTGGGGGTGCGGGCGCCCTTTCTCTCCTGCAGCCGGGGCCCCGCAACAGGACCGCGAGGCGCTCGTGGGTGACACCGGGGTGACGGGGGTGGGAGAGGGGGCGGGGCTGAGGGTTCACCGGGGAACAGCGAGTGGGAACAGACCGCGAGCAGCTGGACGCGTGGGTCTGAAATCGGGGAGGGAGGCCCGGGAGGGAGGCTTGCAAATGTGGGAGCTCCGGCCCTGGCCGGTGTGGCTCAGTGGGTAGAGCGTCGGCCTGCGGACTGAAGGGTCCTGGGTTCGATTCCGGCCAAAGGCATGTACCTGGGTTGCGGGCACATCCCCAGTGGGGGGTGTGCAGGAGGCAGCTGATGGATGTTTCTCTCTCATCAATGTTTCTAACTCTATCCCTCTCCCTTCCTCTCTGTAAAAAATCAATAAAATATATATTTAAAAATCAATAAAATATATATATTTTAAAAAGTGGTAGCTCTTGCGGGAGAGATCAACCAAAGGACTTGTATGCATGCATCTAGGCCTAAACCATGGACACAGACACCAGGGGGTGAGGGCATGAGGGGGGGGGAGGTAATGTGGGGATAAGGACACATATGTAATAATTCAATCAATAAAGAAAAATTTTAAAAAGTGGTAGCTCTTTTGTGCACCAGGACAAAGGAGGCAGACCTGAGGGAGGGAACCTGGGGTGTGAAGATGGGAAGCAGCTAGAGGTTGCACAGTGGTGTGCAGACTAGAGGATGTTTGAGCTGATGGTCCTGGGTGCCTGCCCTTGACCGGAATCG